TTTCTCCTAGCTTTAATCAAATTAATCTAACCATAATAATATTAACTTTTAAGTTGTAGATTGTTTATCTATTTATGTGTATGCGCCCGCGTGCATCTATGTCCAGTGTAGTGTTTTCTCAGCGACCAAACCTGAACTGGATATATGTTTTAGGCATAGGTGAACTAGATATATTTTTATTCCTATGTAGGAAAAAAGTGGTTGGTGTGATAGTTTTCATGTGAAATAAATTTTTCCAGTTGTGTGTTGGTATCTAATTTTGAAGCTTCCCGTTTGGAGTTCTTATCATATCTTACTAAAATCTCTGTTTTGTTGACTTTCAATTGCAGAGTTGAAGTCATCAGAATGGGGACAATAATCAAAACTACTACTGTCACTCTTTTTCTTTGTCTTCTTCTGTTTCCTATTGTCTTTTCCACACCCAATGAACGGTTGATCAGAATTGGGCTCAAAAAGTTAAAGATTGACCGGAACAATAGGTTGGCTGCCCACCTTGATTCCAAGGCGGGAGAGGCATTGAAAGCTTCTATTAGAAAGTATCGTCTTCATGGGAACTTGGGGGAACCTGAAGACATTGACATTGTGGCACTAAAGAACTACCTGGATGCTCAGTACTTTGGTGAGATTGGTATTGGCACTCCACCACAAAACTTCACTGTGATATTTGACACCGGTAGTTCCAATTTGTGGGTACCTTCATCTAAATGTTACTTCTCGGTGAGTTTTATTCCTTAAATTGATACCTGAGTGCTTAAGAAGTGGACATGTGATTTGCAATATTTCTTACATGTTGCTGTTGTCTGGGTCTTCGTGCAGATAGCTTGCTATTTACATTCAAGATATAAATCAGGCCGCTCACGTACCTACAAGGCCAATGGTTTGTTTCTATGTCTTGGTCCATTCAGGCTTTCCTGAAATCCACTTATAAACTGGTTGTTTTCTTTTGATCAACCTAAAAATGTCATTTAGAACAGATGCGGTAGTTGAATTTGGTGTATTTGTTCTTTTTACTTCTATAATAATTTGGCTGCCTTTTTTAAAAAGACAAAAATAAAAAAACTTGTGTGCTTGTAATGCACAATTAGTTCCATTGTGCTTTTGAGTGAGGAAACTTTGGAAGGATGAGAAGAAGGATATTATGCTTAATCCTTGTTTATTTGAGTCGAAGTGAGGATAATGAAGGTGATGTCGATGTACTTTTTTTTTAATGAGTAATTGCAGGTAAACGAGCGGATATCCATTATGGCACTGGAGCTATTTCTGGATTCTTTAGTGAGGACCATGTAACAGTTGGTGATCTTGTAGTTAAACATCAGGTATGTTTAGTAAATTTTTGTACATGTGTTTGAGCTTGTAATTATGTGGTACTCTATTGTTGATGGTTTATGTGAGAATTTACTTTTTCATTTTTATCTGTTTAGGAATTTATTGAGGCAACAAGGGAACCCGGCATAACATTTTTGGTTGCCAAGTTTGATGGTATACTTGGACTTGGATTTAAAGAGATTTCAGTTGGAAATGCTGTGCCTGTGTGGTATGCAATAGCACCTTTTATATCTTTATGTGCTGTTATGCTTTGTTGGGGTCAATTTATGGGCATAAGATGTTTATAGTATAAGAATTAATGATGAAAATGGTGTTGCATAAGTTTGATTCTGTAAGTGCTACAGGTACAATATGGTCAATCAAGATCTTGTTAAGGAACCAGTTTTCTCATTTTGGCTTAACCGCAATCCTGAGGATGATTTAGGCGGAGAAGTGGTTTTTGGTGGGATGGATCCAAAACATTTCAAGGGGGACCACACTTATGTCCCTGTAACACAGAAAGGATACTGGCAGGTTAGAATTCTATAGTTTACCTGTATTTTGTATAATGTTTGATGTCGTATTTATAATTGCCTGTTCCAGCTCAGTTGGTAGAGCACAAGGCTATTAACCTTGGGATTGTGGGATCGAGTCCACGGTGGGCAATTCATAATTCGGAGGTCTCCACGGAAGCTGCTCTCAACCTGGTGTTGGGGGCAGCCTACTATACTACCTCTCCCTTACCCCATAACATATGGGAATAAGGGTCAACTAATTTTTTTTGATGTCGTATTTCATTTCAGTAATGCTACTGTTTCTTTGAGTTTGCAGTTTGATATGGGTGATGTCCTGATTGGTGACCAAACAACTGGTGAGGAACTGTCAGAATTGTCTTACGAAGATGTTTGAATACCTGCTTCACCATATTGGTTCCCTTACTTTCTTCGACTTGTTTCAGGACTTTGTGCCGGTGGCTGCAGTGCTATTGTTGATTCCGGAACTTCCTTGTTGACTGGCCCTATGGTTTGTACATTTCGGTGTATTTTATGTGTGCATGCATGTTTGTGTAGCTGTGTTTGTGCAGTTATAACTAACGCTTCTAAGCATGCAGCTGCACACCTTTTCTTTTTCTAAACAATTCTTTGGATGCACTATAAACATAATGCATGCGTTGGGCTCAGATCTCCCATTGGTGATTTAGTTTTGTATGCATGTATTCAGGCTATCATTGCTCAAGTCAATCATGCTATTGGTGCATCAGGGGCTGTAAGTCAAGAATGCAAGGCTGTAGTTTCAGAATATGGAGAAACAATAATTGACATGCTATTATCAAAGGTATATGATCTGTTTAAACATGTGATGATTGTGTTGCAGCTAAGTGGTATCCCGAGATGGCTAATATAAGGTTCTGGTAGTTTCAGCTATGTGGTTTCCGGAGATGGTTAGAATAAGATTCTGGTTGTTTCTTGGTCACTGCCTTATTAAAATAGTGTTTATTATTCTGCATTTACAGGACCAACCGATGAAAATTTGCTCACAAATAGGTTTGTGCACATTTGATGGAACTCGAGGTGTAAGGTTAGACACGAATCTTTCTATGCTAAAATTCTAGTTTTTGTCTCTGAAAGAACATGTTTTGTTAATTAGTTTCCGTAAACTGTATCGTGTTCAGCATGGGAATTGAAAGTGTTGTGAATGATACTGCCGGAAAAGACTCTGGCAATCTCGGTGATGCGATGTGTTCCGTCTGTGAGATGGCAGTTGTCTGGGCGCAAAACCAGCTTAAGCAGAACCAGACTCAGGAGAATATACTTGAGTACGTCAATCAGGTGAAGAAGCAACCCCTTATCCAGATATTTGTAAGTTCTGGCAAGTTTAACTAGGGGCTTACCTTTTTCCGAAAATTGATAATTCCAGCTCTGTGATCGGTTGCCTAGTCCGATGGGAGAATCGGTTGTTGATTGCGATGGTCTATCTTCTATGCCTAGTGTCTCCTTCACAATCGGTGGAAAGATATTCGAGCTTACCCCTGAGCAGGTATGCTGTATTATGCCAGATCTGTTAAGGTTACTTCGGCCTTTTACTTTGATGCCGATTTGGCTGGCAATGGCATGTTGGTGGTGTTCACTGGTTCTCTCTGTTCCTGACCTCCTTCCCTTTTTTTTGCTGGTTACGGGAATTCAGTACATCCTGAAAGTTGGTGAGGGAGATGTAGCTCAATGCATTAGTGGATTCGCCGCTCTCGATGTACCACCACCTCGCGGACCACTCTGGTATATGCTTGACCACATATACATACAATCCATGGATAAATAATACTGTTTCCGATTACTCGTATTCATATCCGAGAAATCAAACTAATATTTTTGTGTAATCGATATTCAGGATCCTTGGCGATGTCTTTATGGGGCAGTTCCATACAGTATTCGACTACGGTAACTTGCAAGTCGGATTCGCAGAGGCTGCATAAAGCGTTACTGTTCTACGTTTAAACCCAGTTAGTCTTGTATAATATGCAGTGGCTTACAGAAATAAACGTGTGGGACTTGGTGACTTTAGTATGGAATGGTAATATTTGCATATAAATATTGTAGCTTGTGATTATGCTTTTATTAAGGAAGCAACTTACGCGATCCATATCTTTCTACCTTTTTTTTAATAACATTTTTTTTAAATTATCTCCTTATTTTTTGTTCGCGTACGAGTGTTTGTTAAATAAATTTATTTTTTATCCCTCGAAGAGATACTATCAACTCTTTTATCAAATTTTAATCGAATATATTTTTTAGTATTTCTTAAGAATCAGGTCAGATGAAGTGATTTAATTAAATTTAATATGTTGCGAAGAACATCTTAAGTAGTTATGTGCATAGAGTTTCGAGTCTGGGTTCATGGTCCGTGACGTTTTACACAAGCACAACTCACAAAGTTATTTAGATTTCTTTGAGAAAATATACCGAATGCTGATACTTAATACAACCCGTATGATTTATACTCATAGGTCTATTTCAATAAATAGTTGGAATTTCTTTGATATTAGATTTAGTTTAAATTTGATCTGATTTCGAGTTAACCTATGGATACAAAATTTCATAGCATATTTAATAGTTAACGAATTTAATACAACCCGGACAGAGATTTTTTCTTCTTTTTTTTAACTTCAAAATAGTTTGACTTTAATATAAATAATAGATCTTTTAATATTGTAATAACTTAAATCAATAAAATGGATTATTGTGTTAGTTTGGGTTTAATTTATTTTGTAAACTTGAACTGTAATGAATTTCTTTGAGAACTCAATACGTGCACTTATATACACACTTGAAGCAAACACAATCCAGTTTGTGGGCACGTTTGTGCATATATTTCATGTAAACTCAATCCGACTCATTCACACATTTAAATCATACTGGACTGGAAGACCATTTTGAGCTTTGGGAGTTGGTCGGTGCTGATCGAAAGAAACCAATCAGAGTATAAAATGTAACATTTAAAAAGAACATTAATGTAAGAAATTGTGGACTGTCCATGTCTGATTTTTCTCATTTAACAAATTTTGGTTCATGGATAATACGCTCAACCTGCAGTGTATTATGCCCGCCCTTTATACACCAGAAGTAAACAACTCGGTGTAAATATAGAAAGAACATCATACTGCAAACATCGGAAAACTCAGCCGCGATTCCGGCGTTCAAGGGTGAATCAACAGACGAAACCCTACAAAACTTCAGGCATTTTATTCATTGTCCATTTAGATAGTTGTATGCATGATAATTATCACAGCAGATGATATTCAGGCCCCTTTTAGACATCGAGTAGCAGCCTACGAGGGTCTTCGATGACATCCTTGATTCGTCGCAAGAAGAAGACCGCTTCTCTTCCATCAATCAGCCTATGGTCATAAGTGAGTGCAATGTACATCATTGGTCTTGGCACCACATTACCTCCAACAACCATTGGTCGGGACACGATTGAATGCATACCCAAGATTGCTGACTGCAAAAGAAACAAAAATTGGTTATGTAAGATTTTCGTTCGGGTCACAAGCAAAAGCTAAAATGAGGAACTCAGAAAAGTGTCGGACACCGTATTCATATATATGCAAGCACGAGTAAATGCATACTGTTTAATTTGTAACCACGAACCTGAGGAGGGTTGATAATGGGGGTACTCAATAGACTACCATAAACACCACCGTTGGATATAGTAAACGAACCACCAGCCATTTCATCAATTGAGATGGTCCCTTCAGTTGCTTTCTTTGCAAGGCCGTTGATTGTTTTCTCTATCTCAGCAAAATTCATCTTGTCAGCATCACGGACTACCGGAACAACAAGCCCCTAGCAGAAAAGATAGAAGGCTTCAAAATGAGAAAACTCTTAATTTTCAAGGCATCTCGAACCTATACATGTAGGACGCCACACATGTACATCCGATTTTAAGGTTTTTTTTTTTTTTGCATATTTGGAGGGTCCTAGAAGGTTCATATCCCGATACATATGTCATGGTATAGGTCCGATTAAGTGTTGGAAATGAGTACTTCAAGAAGAATAATGAGAAGAAAAACCTTGAACAAGTCTATAATATCTTTTACTAGTCAAAGGACAGTTTCGAATCTATTGGATTTACTCATTTTAACTTTCACAAATGCTTTCACTTCACAGAATATTTTCAGTTCCGATACATTTTTACATGCATGAACCCGCAGTTTTATAGATTTCTTCCAAAGTTAGCCAAGAGAAAATGTTGAGAGAAACACTAATCCAGGTTTCAACAAGTTGTTCGAAGGCTCGGCTATCAAAACAAATGTTAAAGCAAAGACAATCAGAGGAAAAAAAAGATTACCTTTGGAGTACCGACAGCAATGCTGATGTCTATATAATCTCTATAAATAATATCATCCCCATCGATTACAGCATTTACAATAGGCTGATGCTGAAGTGCACTAACGGCAGCCTGAAACCAAAAATAAAATAAAATAGAGGAAAGGGAAAGGGAAAGGGAAAAAGAGAAAGCAGAGTAATTGTGAATGAGCATCTAATGAACATATCATTGCATACTTTAACAAATCCAGACATAAATCCCAGTTTGACACCATGTTTCTCAACAAAAGCATCCTTGTAATCAGATCGGAGCTTCATCAAGTTGGTCCTGCAATATGAAGCAAGTCGATAAGAAAAGAAAACAAATACATGGAGCCAGATTCATCACAAATAGACCATAGCCTTTATAAAATGCTCTCACCAAACTCACAGAAAATTTGTATTAAAAAAGGGAATCAAATAGCTAAGAAAAGACGTAGAAATGGTCCAGAAAGTCAAGTAACACAGGCAGTCAGCATACCTAACACCTGATACAGAGAACTAAAATACGTGGGGGAAATGAACTCACATGTCAACTTCATTGAACGTTGTTAACATAGCAAAAGTATTCTGGGAATCTTTCAATCGTGTAGCAACCCGTTTCCTAAGCCTTGTCATAGGAACCTGTAACATGGAATCATACAATCAGGATTCTTTTCTATGATGCTAACATTTCATCACAGGTACAATTTGGATGTAAATAGAAAATGAAAGACTTACTCTTCTTTCCCTTTCTTTTGGTGGAAGTACAGGTTCGGTAGCAGTTCGTTTTGGAGGTGGTGTAGAAGGGGGTTTAGGCTTCTCCACAGCAGGGGAAGCTTCAGCCTTAGCTTTTGGTTTCTCCTCCTTTACAGTTTCAGCAGGAGGAGATGGTTTGGGAGCGGCTTTTTCTGGTTTCTTTTCGGCAGGAGCAGCCGGTGCTACACCTTCAGCAGACTTTGAAATGATAGCAATCTTGGTTCCGGGTTCTACAGTATCTCCTTCCTTTGCTACATACTGGAAAAAGATTACAGTTCAGGACCTGGATCACTGCACTAGCTCCCAGAAATGAGAAGGTAGGAATCTAGGAATGACTTCCAAAAAAAGGAACCTAAGAATGACCAACAAGCTAGACATGTGCATTCATACATATGTGATCCATATATCCAATTTTGTCGATAAATTACCTCTTGTAGCACACCAGCTTGGGGGCTGACAACATCAATTGTAACCTGATAAGAATAAACACAGCAGTATTAGGGGTACAAACCCACATATTTTCAACAGAAGAAAAGGCTAAGAATAGTACCTTATCTGTTTCTATTTGAGCAATTGGTTCATCAGCTGCGACTGAATCACCAGGTTCTGCTCTCAAAAATACAATTCACATATATCCACAGTCAAGCATTTACAACAATGAAAACAACTATGGCAGAGTGATCAACGGAAATTACAGTAGTCAAAAACATACTTTTCAAGAATGTTGCCAAAGTGCCATCACTAATTGATTCTCCCATAAAAGGGACAACAGCGTCAACAAGATCCCCTTCACAAGTAAATTGGGAAGTCAAAAAATTTAAAATTTAAGATGATAATGAAATAAAAAGATATGCACGGTTATTTTCAAGAAGGCACCTGCTCCCCATCATATGCTATTTAAAAAGGCACTAAAAATGCCAACAAAAAAAAGCCAAAGGTGCAAGTCCAGTAGAACAGAAATTATACTCCAAAATCACTATATAACCAAATTACAGCAAAAAAAAATTCATACTATCGCCTTCACATTTCCCCAGAGAAATTTTATAAGAATTTCTACACAAACTATTTTCTTATTTTGACATGTTGCCTGATCTAGTACCTCTTGACCATCCCTCTTGAGCGACGCAACTCCTAATTGTAAAACAGGATTGATAACATTAATTTAGATGTTAATGGTAAATTCTTAACCAAAACAACTCACCCATGTATTAATAATGTTTAAAATGAAAACAATAAGAGAAAATGCTGATTTGGAAAACGAAATATCACTAAGGTCATTAATCAATATCTTACCTTCTCCAGAAGAGAAAGCCCTGCATGACTTTTGCATGATAGTTTCTGACGGAATGCTAGAAATGACATCCCTGCACATAAGAAAAGCTGTTAGCGGAAAAAAAATATGCACGTGTTTCCTTTTCCCCGACTAACCTAATTTTGTGATAAACAAGAACGAAATGGACTACTTTGCATTAAAAATGGACCTTCTATTAAAGATAGATATAATAATTAGAGATGAAACATCAGATTAATCCAGTAAGCACATATACTCGCAGTCTCAAGTAAAGATAAATGAGTAACAGTAGAATTCCCATCATTTATGTGCATAAAAAGTTTAGAACAAACTAACCTTGTCTTTGTTAAACCAACAGAACAACCTGTAATAACCATGAAATGATTTTCATCGATAACAGAGGAAACCAACAAAATTTTGCTAACATGAAAACAAATCTGTCCAAAAGATTTACCCGGGAGAATGAGATGAGAGAAGTTACGGACGTGATCAATTCCTCTAGGCTGAAGTAATAGAATCTGTTCAAACACATGAAACTCAAATCTCATGAGAATAAATACTAACGGAATATAAAAATAAAAAATGATAAAAAAAACACTAAAGCATTGATTTGATTATTGCTTTTACTCTACATTTTCAGATACAGGGATGAATGTCAGATATGAATACGTGTACAATAAGGTATGCTCAATTTTTTAAAAGCTTTTTCATATACTTCAAAGACCAGATACACATGTGGCCACGTTTTACTATGTGTCGAGCATAGGTGTCCAACACATATTTTTGAGAAAATGAGAACACGAAGACCATGGCTTTTACTGCTTAGTCTTCGCTTCCATAAGTGAAAATTTTGCAACACGTAACAATAATTAACAAATTAACGACATAATGCATGATTTTTTAACTTCAAGACTTATTTTGAATAGCAATTTCAATTTCACCACTTGTTCTTCATACATAAAAAAATAAAAATGCAAAGTTGATCTTGCCCTCTTTTTACTTTATATCAACGTTTTACTGAGAGAGAAAAAAGGCTAAACAAATCAAGCAACTTCGACATCAATTACATAAAAAATAGAATCAAGATCAATCAAAATTCAAGCATGAATAAGCAAACCCGATTCATTTTCAACTTAATTATTTTACCTCTTTTCCAGCATTGGCAGAAACTCTAGAGGTTGAAATACCAGGCCGAATCGCTTGCAATGACTTCCCTAATAGCTGAAAATAAGAAATGAAGAAAAAATTCAATAAAATCTAAGGGTTCTAGTTAAATAAATAACAAATTCAAAAACAAATTAGATTTAAGAGTTCAAACCGAAGCTGACGAGCCTCCAATCGTAACTTTTCTCCTCAAAGCACCCAACATCATCGATATTCAATCCCTCCTCTTCCCAATATCAAAATAAAAAATATAAATCAATAATTTAAATTCAAAATCAAACACGTTAATCTTTTCCCTCAAAAATCAAACTATTCACCAGATTTCAGCTTATATTCGATTCGATGTTGAACTCAATAATTAGAAAATAGAGAATAAACGAGACGTGAAGCGATTAAAGAAGAAAGAGAGGCGTTTGCCCTGAGCTTTTAAGCTTAACAGAACATATTTGTGAGTCGTCGAATACAGTATTATAATAATATTATTAAATAATAATAAACTAGGGTTTTGACTTTCTTATGTTACGACAGAAACGGCGTAGTACGCGTTCACGTGGCGAGCGCAGTAGAGTTTGTATACGCGGCATCGTTTTATTGGTGGGCTGCATGAAAAGCGAAACTTCTTTTCTTACTATTGACCGAAACCGGAGAAGAAAAGTCCAACGGCGGCGTTTTAGAGTAGTTTAACTTTGGGCTTGTTAGGGTCAGATAGTTCCTACAAATATTTGGGTCAAAAAGGCCAGCCTATAGTTAATAAGGCCGTGTAGATGCTCCACGGAAGTATTTTACAAAATTTCAATACTTTGAATTGATTTTATTCAATTTAGTTTTGATATTGAAAAAACGCATGTTTATATTTAAATAAAAAGTTACATTGAAAGTAGGATGGTAACAATAGGACTACAATGTGATTATTGACTATTGTTCCATGTACTATATTATTGGTTGGTGTTTCATATTTTAAATTTTTTTTATATGGTTTCGTTGTTCAATTACTGTTTATCTTTAAAGTAGTCTAATGATAATAAAATTAGCGTGTGATTATTGATTATTGTTCAGTGTTTGATACTTTAGGGTTTTAAAATCATTTCATTGATCAAACAATATTCGTCATTTAGGTATTCTAATAATGATAAGATTAGGTCAACGAGTGTTGGTACAAGTGATTGAGATTCTTAATCAATGTATTGTATCATTGGTTAGTGTTGGACTCTTGTTAAGTTTTTGATGTTATTTTATTGGTCGATAAATGTTCGCCTTTAAAATAATAAGACAAGAGTATAATTAGATAATGACTATTGCTTATTGTTCTATATATTATTTTATTCGCTTATGTGATTAAAATGTAGTAACTGTTCTTTATTAGTATAATGTGATTAAAAATAAGAGTTAATTGCACTATGAGTCCCTAATTTGTGGCTCTCATTTTAAATTGGTCTTCAAACCTTTTAAAAAATTAAATTGCATATCTAAACTCTCATTTTAAATACTTGTTAAACTTTTGAATATTTCAATTTCATCCCTAAATTATGACCATCAATCTAAATCAATCCGTAAATTTGTGAACGTTCCAATAACTTCCCTAAAATAATTCAAAAGTTTGGGATAAAATTGGAATATTCAAAAGTTTAGGGACTAATTTAAAATGAGAGTGATAGTTTGAGGATAGATTTTGAATATTCAAAAGTTTGGGACCAATTTAGAAAAAATCATAGTTTGAGGATACATTTGGAATGTTCAAAAGTATGGGGATCAATTTAGAATAAGTCATAATTTGGGGATCGTGTAGTACAATTAACTTTTTAAATTGATCCCTTAACTTTTAAACATTCCAGTTTCATACCTAGAACATGACTCATTTTAAAGCATTTCTAAACTTTTGAACATTCCAAATTCATCCTTAAACCACGATCTCATTCTAAATTGGTCCTCAACCTTTTGAACATTCAAATAACCTCTCCCAATTCATTTAAAAGTATAGGGATGAAATTGGAATGTTCAAAACTTTGGGGACTAGTATAGAATGATGATGATAATAGTTTGGGGGATGAAATTGGAATATTAAAAAATTAGAGACCATTATAAAAGAAGATAAAGTTTGATGATGAAATTGGAATGTTAAAAAATTTAGTGATCAATTTAAAATAGAAGTTATAGTTTGAGGATGTGTATTACAATTAACTCTAAAAACAATTAATTTATAATATCGAACATAAAAGTAAACCAAGAAGAATGTAACCAAAAAAATTATAAATATAAATACTAGATAATGACGCACTTTGAGAAGGAAAATAAAATAAATCTTCAAAAAAATATATATATATGCGAAAGCTTAATACGATTACTAAAAAGGTTGGTATGATAAATGATAATTCCAATTTAAGTCCCTTTAAGTTCCTATCACTTTTAATGCAACCACGTCAAATATGACTTATTTTAAAAGGGTCTCCAAACTCTTATTTTCATTCCAATTAGTGCTTTTAATTAAAAAAGTGGACTTAAAGGATAAAATTTAAAGGGTGTTTAATTGCACCTCACATCCTCAACTATGAATCTTAGTTTAAATTAGTCCTAAACTTTTGTCCATAAAGTATGACTCATTTTAAAATAATCCTTGAACTTTTGAATAATCCAAATCCATACCCAAACTATGACCCTCATTCTAAATTGGCTCCTAAACTTTTGAGTATTCCAATTTTATCTCCAAATTTTTAGATGATATTAGGGGATATTATCAAATTATTCAAAAGTTTAGGAACTAAATTAGAATGATGATCATAATTTAGAATATTAAAAAAATTAAGGACAATTTAAAATGAGAGTCACAATGTGTGAATGTGTGATTCTTTCACAATTATTAAAATTTATGATATAAAGTAGGTAATATTTTAAACCAAATAAACAAGCTCTGCTGCTCCTTGGCAAATTGCCACCCTTTTAATTCCGGGAATGTCTCAGGAATGGTGGAGCAGATGACTTTGAAATTGAGGCCGAGACTCGAAAGCAACCAAAGGGTGGATATATGTACTTCTAGTAAGTATCAATGTCTTTTTGTTATTATTGTTGAAATGGTAATTGGATTAAAGTATCGATAAACTTTAAATTGATTACAAATTTTAAATGTTAACAGTATGGCCGAATGCAAAAGGATGAAGGGAGATGGCACACAGAGCGGTTCGGTATGTAAAATGAAATTGACATTGAGTAGTATTAGTATTTAGTGTTAATGTATTGATTAAGAAACGTTTATGTTTAATATTAGGTGAAAAAAGATGTGAGGTCCAAATGGAATTCAATGAGTGATGCTGAAAAGGAACCTTACATCACACAGTCAAGGAATGATAGTAAAGAATACAAAGAACGGAGGAAAGCACATGAAAATAAGGTATTCATTAAACTTGTAAATACGTTGATACAAAATATATAAGAACTATAACATTATATATTGTTAAAAAATGTAGGAAGTGTCGACAAGATGCAACATTAAAAGGGTGAATTTATTAATTAAACACCTTAAGGAGAAGGGTCAGTTGAATGTGCTGGGAGAAATAGGTTTTGGATCGTTGATCGGAGTAAGGGATCGACCTATTCGGAGGGAATTGTGTCGATCCCAACAGGGTGCACCCATAAAGTGTCGATCCATATATAAAAAAGTGTCAATCCCAAAAACATCGAAAACCAAAAGTATAATGTAATATGTAATTTTTCAATCTAACCGGTACAATTATACCGGTTTTATGAGAGAATATGTCTAAATAATGTGTCGACACTAATATAGTTTGTGTCGATATTTTTTTTCCAGAATGAATGGAAAACAGGGTGCACCCATAAAGTGTCGATCCATATATAAAAAGTGTCGATCCCAAAATCATCGAACCCAAAAGTATAATGTAATATGTAATTTTTCAATCTAACCGGTACAATTATACCGGTTTTATGAGAGAATATGTCTAAATAATGTGTCGACACTAATATAGTTTGTGTCGATATTTATTTCCAGAATGAATGGAAAACAGGGTGCACCCATAAAGTGTCGATCCATATATAAAAAGTGTCGATCCCAAAATCATCGAACCCAAAAGTATAATGTAATATGTAATTTTTCAATCTAACCGGTACAATTATACCGGTTTTATATGTCTAAATAATGTGTCGACACTAATATAGTTTGTGTCGATATTTTTTTCCAGAATGAATGGAAAACAGGGTGCACCCATAAAGTGTCGATCCATATATAAAAAGTGTCGATCCCAAAATCATCGAACCAAAAGTATAATGTAATATGTAATTTTTCAATCTAACCGGTACAATTATACCGGTTTTATGAGAGAATATGTCTAAATAATGTGTCGACACTAATATAGTTTGTGTCGATATTTATTTCCAGAATGAATGGAAAACAGGGTGCACCCATAAAGTGTCGATCCATATATAAAAAGTGTCGATCCCAAAATCATCGAACCCAAAAGTATAATGTAATATGTAATTTTTCAATCTAACCGGTACAATTATACCGGTTTTATGTGAGAATATGTCTAAATAATGTGTCGACACTAATATAGTTTGTGTCGATATTTATTTCCAGAATGAATGGAAAACAGGTGCACCCATAAAGTGTCGATCCATATATAAAATGTCGATCCCAAAATCATCGAACCCAAAAGTATAATGTAATATGTAATTTTTCAATCTAACCGGTACAATTATACCGGTTTTATGAGAGAATATGTCTAAATAATGTGTCGACACTAATAGAGTTTGTGTCGATACTAATTTAAATATCAAGTGTTTTCCACCGTTTATGATATATAGTACTCTTAATCGAGAAACCCTAAACATAAAGGCAAGCAGGCAGATCTTCCTCTTTCTTCTACCGTTATCATAAGTGACGATCAGATATTCAGGTAAATTTATCGTTATTTTATGGGTTTGATTGATTTCTATATTGGAGTTTTTATCATGAATGTGTTTGTGTTCCATTGTAATAGGAAAGCATTCATAGACTCGCACCTTTGTGTTGAGCGAATATTGGCAAAGAAATGACCGGTTAGATATGCTTGTGCCCATAAGTGTCGTGTATTTCCCTTCTCAATCACTCATGGATGCTTTTGGACGTTGAATTCTGAAACAATCGAACGCCATTGAATATCAAATTCCTTGGTTGTCCACCAGGAAGCCATGCATTTTGAGAATGCTGCTGTAAACTTTGGGTCACCAATGTTAGCTTGTGCATTGCGAGAAAGATGCCAAGAACATAATCTGTGCTTAGCATAAGGGATAACAGATTTGATAGCCCTCTGCATTGCCCTATCCCCATCGGTTACAACAGAAATAGGTGATTTATTCATCATGGCTTCTAAAAAATTCTGTAGCACCCACTCGAAAGATTGAGACGTCTCGTCAGCGATTATGGCAGTGGCAAACACAATTGTGTTATGGTGATGATTGACACCAACAATAGGCATAATTGGTCGACCATACAAATTATCTTTGTACGTTGTGTCGAACGCAATTACATCACCGAAGCATGTGTAATCCGATCTCGATGTAGAATCCGACCAAATAAGATTATACAATGCCCCCGATTCGTCTACCGAGTATGTCATAAAAAACCCGGGATCATCATGTTTCTTATAATCAAAGTAGGCAATAAGCGCATTCACATCCCCATCGACGATTTCCTTTGCTTTACCTCTTTGAAGTGCATTGTAGAGGTCTTTATGTGTAAATCCAACATTATGATAGCCCCCTGCCTGCTGCGTTAAATAGTTCATTACTTGTGACGTGCCAACACCGACCTCTTTCAATGTTGTTGCCTCATCGATATCAGCCTTACTTACAGCTCTATTAGAACGCATAAATGGTGTCATAGCAGATGTGCACAATGCATGATTATGTTTCTGATCAGACTTACTTATAACCCACTGATCGTTTGTATTTGTTGCTGTAACTACGACTCTAGCCTTACATCATGTTCTTGTGACTGGCGTATGAGCACGTTTACGATCAACAGTATTGACTTTTGATACTCGAAACCCTTCTTTGGAACAACAAAATTCTTGTGTCTTCACATTCCCTTCCACGTCAAGCCGTGTTGTTCCCTTACTGCACTAAACCCATGTTCCCGTGCGAATCCCTTGTAAAAGTGCCAAGCTTGATCACGTGAACAGAAGAGCTGACCAACCAATCTGTCAGATTCATCAACATTATGTACTTCATGACATTCCTCGGTTGGCTTAACATTGTCTACATCAGTATTATCCATGGCAAAAATTTTGTTGTGCAAGTTCAGTGCTCCAGGAGTTGATGGAGATGTAAACAAAGGTTCATTTTGAACATGTTTCTGTCGTGCTGCTTTCAATATGATGTGGCATTGGTAGTGGTAGTTAAAGGGTGGGTACAACATTAAATTCGCAGTACATATTTAGGTATGTACAATAACTACAAGTATATTATCATTAAATTTAGGTATGTACAATAACTACATATTTAGGTATGTTTGTTAACTACATATTTAGGTATATACATCTTTTGAGTGAGTTTTAAGATATTAATTTAGTAATTATAGGCGTCTAATGATTTATTTTTTACGTTACGGTATATATATTATTAAATTAAAAACAATAAACATATATACATATTTATTATTATCTTTGGTTAATGTTGTTAAATTTAAATTCTAAATAATATTTTATAAAATATCAAAACAATCAAATAATTTTTTGTGTAAATGAAATTATTAAATTAATATTGTAGGTGGAAAACATGAAACACTGTTAAAAAATTGAAACATAATTACATAACTTTTAGAAAAAGTATCGATCCTTTTTATAAAAAGTATGGACACTTTCAATATAATAGGTAAACATATGATGTAATAGGTAGCCCTTATATAATGTAATAGGTATCGTTTATATAATGTAATAGGTAGTGGTTATATTGTAAAGTGTCTATCCTTTTTATAAAAGTGTCCATACTTTTTTCACTGTGGAAAACATTAATTTAAGGTTATCTTTTGAGTGAGTTTTAAGATATTAATTTAGTAATTATAGGCGTCTAATGATTTATTTTTTACATTACGATATATTATTATTAAATTAAAAATTCTAAATATTATTTTATAAAATATCAAAAATCAAATAATTTTTTGTGCAAATGAAATTATTAAATTAATATTGTAGGTGGAAAACATGAAACACTATTAAAAAAATTGAAACATAAATTACATAACTTTAAAAGAAGTATCGATCATTTTTATAAAAAGTATGAACACTTTCAATATAATATAATGTAATAGGTAAATTTGCAATGCTCACTGTGGAAAACATTAATTTAAGGTTATCTTTTGAGTGAGTTTTAAGATATTAATTTAATAATTATAGGCGTCTAATGATTTATTTTTTACGTTACGATATATATTATTATTAAATTAAAAATTCTAAATAATATTTTATAAAATATCAAAACAATCAAATAATTTTTTGTGCAAATGAAATTATTAAATTAATATTGTAGGTGGAAAACATGAAACACTATTAAAAAAATTGAAACATAAATTACATAACTTTAAAAGAAATATCGATCATTTTTATAAAAAGTATGGACACTTTCAATATAATATAATGTAATAGGTAAATTTGCAATGCTATCGGTATAAATATACCAGTTTACTTATAAAATAGGTAAATATAAGCGCTACCTATTACATTATATAAGCGCTACCTAGTATGTTATTGTACTTTATAATATTTCCAGTTAAATAATATAACATAACTGATCTAAATTTTAACCGATCACTTATTTAACCGGTCACGTCATATATTAACCGTTTTTTAAGCGCCGCACCGCAGAATTACCCTTTAATTCCACCTTTAAGTCTCTCACAAACTCTCGACTACCACCAATTACCAAACTCCCTACAACGACATTTCCTTTTTGCATTGAACAGATTCAAAGATCTTCTTCAACTCCATTTCTTCATTTACAGTTCCTCAGGTTCTTCAACAACAACAGCAATGGAACCTTCATCTTCCTCTTCAGGTTCCATGAAAGTTTCGCCGCTCGATCTGATGTCAGCGTTAATCAAGGCCAAAATGGACCCTTCCAACGCCTCCGCCGCCGAAATTGCCGCCATCCTTCTCGAGAACAAAGAGCTCGTTATGATTTTAACTACCTCCATTGCCATGCTCGTCGGTTGGGTTGTCGTTTTGGTCTGGCTTAGTTCCGGTTCTCAGAAACCTAAGCAAATCGTTCCTCCTAAGCCTTTGATTGTTAAAGATCACGATGCCGAAGTCTATGATGGCAAGCAGAAAGTCACCATATTCTTCGGTACTCAAACCGGTACCGCCGAAGGCTTTGCCAAGGTTCCATTCCATTTATACATAATTTCTATCCTTTTTTTAATTCGTTGATTTATTTTTTCTCGACCGTGATTTGATTTTTATTGTGATTCAGGCTCTAGCTGAGGAGGCAAAAGCACAGTACGACAAGGCGATGTTTAAAGTTGTGGATTTGGTCAGTTTAATCCTGAGCCCCTTGTTTCTTTTGTTGTTTAAGTTTTTGAACTCGAATTGACGATTTTAACTGTTGAACCTTGTTTTTGGTGCTATAAATAGGATGATTATGCAGCTGATGATGATGAATACGAGGAGGAGATGAAGAAAGAGAATTTGGCGTTTTTCTTCTTAGCCACGTGGGTTATTTTGAATCATTTTCTTTTGAATGACTATACTTTTGTATTTTGTATTGTTGTGTTTATGTGTTTATTATATGTATATATTTTGAGAACCCGTTTTGTTGATTCGCTTAATTTGGTGAACTTGTAGATATGGAGATGGCGAGCCGACTGATAATGCAGCTAGGTTCTATAAATGGTTCGCTGAGATAAATGTTAATTGTAGCTAGTTAATGATGATAATGAGTTATTTCTTTAGCGAAATTATGGTAATTGTGGTTCTGCTAGAATTGTTTTAGTTAGCTGTTATTGGATTATTGAATGTGTGTTTGGATATTAGGGAAAAGAGCGGGGAGAATGGCTACAGAACATGAAGTACGAAATTTTTGTCCTTGGAAACAGACAGTATGAACATTTTAACAAGGTTGCAAAGGTGGTTGATGACATCCTTGCTGAGCAGGGTATGCTCTTAATTTTTCTTGTCTCCCCTATGCTTATATAAATGGATGCTTCTTTTGTTTTCAATCCTTGAAAAATCTGATTTCAGTGAGAGAAAGTGTGTCTTGACATGTATTCAAATTTTCAAACAGAATTATACAGATGGATAAATTTTAGGTCCATGCAGTAAAAGTTTGTTTTAAAGTTGGTTCATATATATTGTAATCAAATTATCACTGCTTAGGAACCTATGGGCTAACATTATCCTTTATACTTGCAGGAGCGAAGCGCCTAGTTCCTCTGGGTCTTGGAGATGATGACCAATGCATTGAAGATGACTTTACAGCATGGTATTAACTATTAAGAACCTCCACTCTGTTTGAATAAAAAAGTTTTTTTTCTTCTTTTATCTTTACCCTTTATTGAACCCATCTTGCTCTTTTAGGCGTGAATCAGTGTGGCCCGAGTTAGATCAGCTTTTGCGTGATGAAGATAACGCAACAACTGTTTCTACTCCATACACTGCTGCTGTTTTGGATTACCGTATTGTATTTTATGATCCTACAAATGCACCTGTTCAGGATAAAAACTGGAGCAATGCAAGTGGACACACTAATTATGATGCTCAACATCCATGCAGGTATGCAAGAATAGTTTTTTCAGATATCCCGGTGGCAATTTGTTAGTTTTTTTTCTTTAATGAAACCTAACATCTTTATTTGTTTCTAACTTAAAGGTCTAATGTGGCTGTGAGGAAGGAGCTTCATACTCCTGCGTCTGATCATTCTTGCACCCATCTTGAATTTGATATTGCTGGCACTGGACTTTCGTAAGTTGCTTTCCTAAATATTTTGGTAACTGTGTGGGTAACTTCTTGTTATAGCAATTATGAGTTTATGACCACCTCTGCTCCTCTTTTATCCTCATTTTATAACTAGATGCCAAGTGCTGGTAATTGCAAGTTTTCCTTTTAACATCATAGATAACTTTGCCTACTTACAGTTGTCTTCCTTTTCAGATATGAAACAGGTGATCATGTTGGTGTTTACTGTGAGAATCTAGACGAAGTTGTAGAGGAAACATTGAGATTGCCACTTGGTGGAAATTCTTTGCCTCCTTTCCCACCTTGCACTCTAAGGACAGCACTGGCTCGATATGCTGATCTTCTGAGCTCACCGAAAAAGGTTAGATTATTTTTTTGTTCTCATTATATCATAAACTCTGTTGTATTTTTCTTTGAATAAAGAAGCTAATTCTTTTATGCATATAACCTCCAGTCTGCCTTACTTGCTTTGGCTGCTCATGCATCTGATCCAACTGAACCTGATCGATTAAGACACCTTGCATCGCCTGCTGGAAAGGTTCGAGGAGTCAATTTATATTATAGTTTGGTTTCTTTATCTGCGGCTTATTTGTAATCTGATGTAACTTCTGACATTTTTACAGGATGAATATGCACAATGGATAGTTGCAAGTCAGAGAAGCTTCCTTGATACTGTCGAGAATATCTAAATTAAATATTATGATTGTTAACTAGATATTTTATTCTTTTAGTTATTAGATAGGATCAGTTTTAATTAGATAGAATCAATTTTTATTAGATAGAATCAGTTTTATTTTGTTGCTAATTTTATGCATCTTTTTATGTAAAATTATTACATTGTAAACTCTATTTAAGTCAGTCATATTCGGCAAAAATAAATATGATTTATTCGGAACAAGTTTTTCCGACTTTATGGTATCAGAGCCAAAATGACCAAACCCTACGATGATACCTCTGGTATCGACTCTATGAGTTCTACTCGCTCACCCTCAATCACCCTAAACACTGAATCATTCCAAAATATATCCATCACTTCTCACAAGTTGAATGGAAATAATTTCTTACAGTTGTCATAATCTGTAAAACTGTTTATTCGTGGTCGTGGAAAATTCGGCTATCTCTCAGGTACCATTACGAAACCTGTCGAAGAAGATGAAGAATCTGAAAGATGAGAGGCAGAAAACTCGATGATTATGTATTGGCTCATAAATTCCATGGATCCGAGTGTAGGGATAACTTATCTCTTCCTACCTACTGCTCATGACATTTGAAATGTTGTGAACGAGGATTATTCTGATCTCGGGAACGCAGGACAACTGTTTGAGCTAAAAACTCGGTTATGGAGGCTAAAACAAGGAGAAAAAACTGTCACTCAATACTACATTGACCTCAAGACCTTGTGGCAAGAGGTTGACATGTTCAACGACTACGAATGGAGTTGTGCTAAGGATAAGGCTCTATTCCAGAAGATGGTGGAAAAAGAATGCGTCTTTGAATTCCTTGTCGGCCTTAATAAGGAATTGGATGAAGTCAGAGGGCGCATTCTTGGTCGTGAACCACTACCAAGCATAAGAGAAGTCTTCTCTGAAGTCAGACGAGAGGAGAGCCAACGGACAGTCATGCTTGGAGGCCACTCACCAAATCTCACCGACTCTTCTGCCTTGTTCTCAGGTCAGCCACCACGTCACAACGATTGTCGGAACGACAGAGATTGACCAATCTGCGAGCACTGCAACAAACCGGGACACACTAAAGCCAAGTGTTGGAAGCTACACAGGAAGCCAGCCGAGAATTTTTCAGCCAATCAGAATTATCGTAATGCAAAGGGATTCCATGCCTCGTCTGAAGATGCTTCTGAAGAGCTGAAACCTGCCTCAGAACCGTCTGCCTTCAGCAAAGAAAAACTAGAGCAATTGTATCAACTAATGAGTTCCCATTCCATATCCATCACTCCTAACCCATCATCTTATATTGCCTCTTCATCATTAGTCCAGAAAGGTACATATCATACAGCTTTCATAGCCGGTTCTAAATCAAACCCTTGGATCATAGATTCAGGGGCAACATATCACATGACCGGTAGTTCCTCCATATTCTCATCTTATTTTTCTTTATCTGGTAATCTGAAAGTAAAAATTGTTGATGGTTCCTTAACCTCTATAGCTGGAAAAGGCTCTATTATTATTTCCCCATCTCTCACATTACTAAATGTCCTACATGTCCCAAAGCCTCTTGCAATCTCATCTCTGTTAATCGTATTATTCATGATTGCAAATACATTACTACAATAACATTTGATGGATTTGAATTTCAGGACCCTTGTTCGGGGAAGATGATTGGCAATGCTAAGGAGGTTGATGGACTCTATCACTTGGTCACGGAAAATCCTTCGGATAAACAAGTTCAGAAAACAAAATGCTTTACTACCTTGTCTTGTGAGAATGAAATAATGTTGTGGCATTATAGGTTAGGCCATCATAGTTTTAATTACTTGAAATATTTGTTTCCAAATCATTAAAAAAAAGGCGGTTTTTCTTTTCAGTGTGAAGTTTGTGAATTGGCAAAACATCATAGATCTGTTTATCCATCTTTAAAGTATATGCCATCAAAACCTTTTTCTCTTGTGCATAGTGATATTTGGGGCCCTTCACGAGTAAAAATAGCCTCAGGATCTAGATGGTGCATCACATTCATTGATGATCACACTAGAGTTACGTGGATTTATTTACTAAAAGAAAAATCCGAGGCAGCAAATGTTTTAAAAAAATTTCACTCACTGATCAAGACTCAGTTTAAAGCAAATATTAAAGTTCTTAGAACCGATAATGGTCGAGAATATTTTAATGCAATCTTAGGTGATTTTTTGAAACAAAAAGGAATTATTCATCACAGTTCTTGCGTTGATACTCCCCAACAAAATGGAGTTGCTGAAAGAAAAAATAAGCATTTATTAGAGGTGGCTAGGGCTTTATTGTTTGCTATGAATGTTCCTAATCATTTTTGGAATGAAGCACTCTTAACAGCGTCTTATTTGATAAATCGAATGCCTACAAGAGTTCTTAATTATATCACTCCTTTGCAAGCTCTAAAGAATATGTTTCCTGAAAATAGATCTTTTACTGATTTAACACCTAAAATTTTTGGTTGTATTGATTTTGTTCATATACACGGCCAAAATAGAGGAAAACTTGATCCCCGAGCACATAAATGCATATTTCTAGGTTTTTCACCAACACAAAAATGGTATAAATGCTTTGATCCTAAATCTGGGAAGTATTATGTGAGTATGTGTCGTAACCGTCTTTCGGTTAGGCCCCGGAATTGGGCTTCGAGTTAGGAAAATGGATTGGAGTCGCCACCGATCATTTATTTAAAGATAAATGGGTTGATCGGATACCCTATTTCTTATCTGATCTGCGTCTTACCAGAAATATGTCGGGCTCGGGAGTCGGTTACGGTCAAGGAAGGATTAGCACCCTTGAACCGCCCTTTCGGTACTACGTAATTTCCAGTTGTCTTAATTAAGAAAAATAACAAGTTAAATTAAAAGATAAAATAATGATCCAAAATTACTTACCTTTGACGGATTTACAAATATACCCTTTAAAAGTCAAAATATGGGTTAGAAGAGATGAATAAATGATAAATAAAGTAAAACAAATAAAATAAGGAGATTAAGTAAGAAATAAAGTAAATATAAATGAATAGAATATATAAAATAAAAAACACACTAATATATGCACAACAAACAACTAAATAAAAATAAATGATAATGCAAATAAATAAATAAAACAAGTAAAAGAATATAAAAACATAAAATATAGGATAAATATAAAAATAGATAAATAAATGAGTAAAATATAAAAAAGTAAAAGCATATATATATATATAAAGTAATAATAATAAAAAAAAGAAAATCAAAAGTAATATACATGCAAAATAGGAAATATATAAATATATATATATATAATAACACTAATAAAAAAACATATATATATATATATATATATAATAAAATTAATAGAAAGTAATATGCATATATAACAAGAATAATAAAATAGGAAAAAAATGATTTAGGGGGGAGAATTAAATATTTTAAAAAAATGAACACGCCTCGGGGGTGGATCTAGGTTCGAAACTTCGAAATCCCACCCTTTTTTAGTCATCGGCGCAACCCACGTTTTGGGTTATTCGAACCAAATCTCAAGAAAAATAACGTGCACATGCGAGAAATGAACGAACCAATGTAAAAAAAGATGCTACCTTTTATTTCCTTTTCGAATCGTTTACAACAACTTTGCCTTTGTATTTTCCGTGATTTCCTATGTGTTTTGTGTGTAAATCGTGTCTTACAATAGTGAGTTACAATGGCTATTTATAGTGCTTGTGGATCCTATCTTTAGGAGTTTAAATCATAGTAGAACTCTATCCTATTTTTTGAATCCTAACAAAATTCTATCATATCTTTAGGAGTTTGAATTCTAGTAGGACGAAAATGTGTGTTGACAGCTGCCCCTCTTTGCCCATAGTCGTGTAACGGGGATAGGGCAAAGATTAAAAGACACACTTTTCGTTCGGTGGAGTTGAAAATTGACTCTGATGTTTCAATAACTCCCTGTCGAATTGAGTTACGGATGACTCCTCCGTCGTGAAGCCGAGTTCATCTTGGAATGATATGAAATTGAAGCCGTAGTTCGGAATTTGAATCAGAACGTGGCTTCTCGTTGCCCTTCGGTCTTCTTCTCGGTTTAAAGACCTTGGATCGGAATCGAACTTAGAAATCTTCATTGACATATAGCTTTTGTTTGAAAATGGTTGCTTGTCACTAAGGCACGGTTAACCCAGGTCCTCTTCTCGACTTGAAAACATCGACTGCAACCGGAAAGTAGTGCGATTGATGTGTCATCGAGCTGAATGGAATCGAACTCGACAATTTTGATGGCAGATAACCCTTCTAGCATTGAGTTATGCTGTAAATGATGTGCCTTGGAGCTGAGCGTAGTCGAACTCGAAGGTCTTTGTTGACATATACTCCCTTTTTGAGTTGGATATCCTTTGCCGTGAAGTTGAAATCCAATCTAAAGATGGATGATGCTTGTGTGCACGATTCCCTTCGTCGTGAAGTTGAGCCTGAAATTGGATATCCTTCGTCGTGAAGTTGAAATCCAAGTAAGTAGCATTGTTCAGAGTCCAATATCCTCCGTCGTGAAGTTGAAATTGAATCTGAATGAAATTTTGTTGACAAGCAGCGGTCCCTTCGTCGTGAAGTTGAACTTGCGTTGTCTGGAGTCCAATATCCTTCGTTGGGAAGTTGTTGTTGACAAGCAGCGGTCCCTTCGTCGTGAAGTTGAACTTGCATTGTCTGGAGTCCAATATCCTTCGTTGTGAAGTTAAAATTGGCTCTGCGATTGGGAAGTTGTTGTTGACAAGCAGCGGTCCCTTCGTCGTGAAGTTGAACTTGCGTTGTCTGAAGTCCAATATCCTTCGTTGTGAAGTTGAAATTGGCTCTGAAATTGAGAAGTTGTTGTTGACAAGCAGCGGTCCCTTCGTCGTGAAGTTGAACTTGCGTTGTCTGAAGTCCAATATCCTTCATTGTGAAGTTGAAATTGGTTCTGAAATTGAGAATTATTGACAGGCAGCGGTCCCTTCGTCGTGAAGTTGAACTTGCGTTGTCTGAAGT